CTCAAGGAAGTTAACGAGGTTATTTACGAATTAAAGATGGTTAATGACGATCGGTCATAGGTTACTTCTTCCAGACGAAGTAAAAAATCCTCAAGAAGTAAGTCCTCTCGTTTAACCACAGCAAGCACAACTTCAACGGCGCGACAACGTCGACTCAACTTAGAAGAAGAATTAGCTACTTTAAAGGCCAAGATGCATATGGCTGGAAAGAAGGAAGAGTTAGACGAAGCCAATCGAAAGGCTTTAGAAAACCTTGACGAGTTAAGGCTTCAACTTCAGAAAGAAGAAACGAGAGTGAAGGAAGAAATACAGAACGCCACGAAGAGATTCCAAATTGCAGAGGAACTAGCAGAAAAGAAGGCAAGAATTGATGCGTGCAAAAAATTCGAAGAAGAGTTCGCACCACTACCTTTGGTAGACAGCGATGAGGCAAGTTGTGCCCAAGAACGCCTCACAAGATTTCTAGGGCTCCAACCGGACATGCCAAATGCTGATAACTCCGTACGGGAAAACACAACTGCTGCCGAGTCCACGCCACCAAAGGACCCGAAATTAACGCCAAAGTTATGCCCATTAAATCCGTCTACTCCTGAATTTGTCCCTAATGCTGTGCCTTCCATCCCCACAAACCAGCAGGACACTATACCTCCCGTGATCGAGAAAATTGTAACCAACCCTGTCCTCAACGAACCTAGCCTTGTTCAAGCTCAACTTGACGTAATTTCAAAATTATTAGAAGTTCAGAATCAAAATCGTCTACCATTGCCCGAACCTGGAATCTTCAATGGCGATCCCCTCCAATTTCCAATTTGGCTAAAGGCATTCGAGACACTGATCGAAGGTCGAGCAATAAATCCTGCGGAAAGGCTCCACTTCCTAGGCAAGTACGTCACAGGTGAGGCGAAGGAACTGATTAAAGGATTCATGCTCTTAGACGGTTACCAAGCTAAGTTACCAAGATGGACATTGGTCAGATGGGGAAGACGAGTCTACGATTGGAAAGAAAAGAACCACAATTTCCCCCCGTTCTCCGAGTTCGTGAAATATCTCGTGACCGAGTCCAATATAGCTTGCGATCCAGTTATCAGCCGTTTTAAGGAAGACGACTCTAAGAAAGCGAAGAGTCGACCGTACGAAATACCGAATCGCAGGAATCGTCCGAATCGAGATGAATATCGCAGTCGAAACACACTCGCAACACGATCAGAAGAAGGAGATCAGAGCAAGGAAAGACCTAACGGCGAAGCAAAGCAGACCACCTGCATACTGTGTAATGGACCTCACGAACTGAACTCGTGTCAGTCGTTTTGCGCAAAGGATATAATAGATAGAAAGGAATACGCGAAAGAAAGGGTCTTTGCTTTGGCTGCTTAACGCAAGGACACATATCTAAACACTGCAAAAGGAGAAAAACTTGTACAACGTGCAAGAAGTCGCATCCAACATCCCTCCATGGAGATCTTAGGAAACCCGAGAACAATCAGAATTCCCAATCCCCTGAAAATCCCGCTACGACCAACTGCACAAAGACTTGTTTTATGAACGACGGTAACGAGCATCAAATCAGTTCGATGATCGTACCCGTGTGGATTAGTCACGAGCATAATCCCGAGTTAGAGAAACTTATCTATGCGCTGCTGGATGATCAGTCTGATACGACCTTTGTTTCGCAGGAAACATTAAACCACCTTAACGTCAGTGGACCGAAGACACAGCTATCATTGTCGACTATGCACGCGGAGAATGAATTGCTACCCAGTCAAAGGATCAAGGGACTAAGAATCAGTGATGTCATGCATAGCAAGGTTATTCAACTTCCCACGAGTTTTTCCTGCATCGCAATACCAGCAAGACGTCAACAAATCCCCTGTCCCGAAATGGCTAAGAAGTGGCCCCATCTCAGAGACATTGCCTCACATCTGATACATCCTCAGAACGATATCGAAGTAGCACTTTTGATTGGTTCGAACTGTCCTCAAGCAATAATACCGCGCGAAGTTATTCCCGGTCAGCAAAATGAACCCTACGCACAAAGATCTGATTTGGGCTGGGGAATAATCGGCAATGTTACCAAGCCCACCGAAAACAACGATGAAAGTTCAGTAGCCATCGTTCACCGAGTAACTACGCGTAACCCCACAAGCACCAACACGCCACAGCGGAAGACTTGTTATTTTGCCATTAAGCCAACTGTGAAGGAAGTTATTAATCCTGCTCAGTTGTGCCAAATGTTAGAGTTGGACTTTTCCGAAAGAAGAAATTCTGAGCCATCAATGTCACAGGACGATAAGAAATTCCTATCTAAGATGGATCAAGGTGCGTATCAAGAAGAAGGTGGCCATTACGTTATGCCCCTACCATTTCGTGAGCTAGTACCAAAGATGCCCAACAACAAGTCGCTAGCCTTACACCGACTGTCGAAACTACGAATTCGCTTGGAGAAGAACGAGAAATATCGGAAAGATTACAGCCGCTTTATGAATGACCTCATCGAGAAAAACCATGCTGAGAGAGTTCCTGAAAAGGAGCTGGAAAATGAGGACGGCAGCACATGGTATATTCCACATCATGGGGTATACCACCCGCGAAAGCCAGACAAGATACGCGTCGTCTTTGACTGCAGCGCAGACTACAAGGGTGAATCCATTAACCGCCATCTATTACAAGGGCCCGATCTCACAAATCAACTCGTAGGTGTTCTGTGCCGGTTCAGACAAGATCCTGTTGCGCTTACTTGCGACGTCGAGTCGATGTTTCATCAATTCAAGGTTATCGAAGCACACAGAAACTTCCTACGATTTCTTTGGTTCGAGGACGGCGACATAACGAAGAACCCGGTGGAGTACAGAATGACCGTACACCTTTTCGGCGCAGCATCTTCGCCAGGTTGCGCAAATTACGGCTTTAAGAAAATCGCAACAGACCACGAGAGAGAGTTTGGATCGGAGGCGGCAAACTTTATTAAGGACAACTTTTATGTCGACGACGGCCTAAAGTCGGTCAACACAGCCGAACATGCGATTTCTTTGATTCAGAAAACGAAAGAACTGTGCGCGAAGGGTGGCTTACGACTCCATAAATTTGCCTCTAATTCGAAAGAAGTCATCGCAGCAATCCCACCCGAAGATCGTTCGTGTCAGTTGAAGAACCTCAATCTCGGAAGCGACCGCCTACCGATAGAAAGAGCACTGGGAGTGCAGTGATGTATCGAGTCCGACGCCTTCCAATTGCAAATAACAGTGCAAGACAGCCCATTGACAAGACGGGGCATTCTTTCTACCGTCAGTTCAGTATACGACCCACTTGGTCTTGTGTCACCCGTTGTGCTCATAGCCAAGCAAATTCTTCAAGAGTTATGTCGAGACGGAGCCGACTGGGACGACCCAATTCCGGATTCAATCAAAGTTAGATGGGAAAGATGGAGAAGAGAACTTTTCCTACTCAACGACGTAAAAGTACAGAGAAGTTTCAGACCCGAAGGCTTCGAACAACTGAAATCCGTAGAGCTTCATCACTTCTCCGACGCTAGTACGTCAGGATACGGACAATGTTCCTACGTACGCTTGTTGAACCACGACGGCGAAGTTCACTGTGCGCTCGCAATGGGAAAGTCACGTGTATCTCCCCTAAAGAACGTCACGATTCCACGTTTAGAGTTAACCGCAGCGTTAGTTTCCGTCAGAGTAAGCACCATGCTACACCGTGAACTTGACTATGATAAGATTCTTGACATCTATTGGACCGATAGTAAAGTTGTACTTGGCTACATTGGTAATGACGCTCGAAGATTTCACGTTTACGTTGCGAATCGCGTACAACAAATTCGAGATGAGACCTCTCCAGAGCAGTGGAAATACGTTGAAAGCAAGGAAAATCCGGCCGACGACGCATCGAGGGGATTAACGGCTCGCGAGTTTCTCGACAGTAAACGCTGGCTTTCAGGACCTCCATTCCTATGGAACCGTAATCTCAACTTGGCCGCTGACGACCATCAACCACTTCCTAGTAACGATCCCGAAGTGAAGACAAACGTTCTCGTCACCCAAGTAACATCCAGAAGCTTCTCGACAATTCCCGAGCGTCTCGAGTACTTTTCGGATTGGCATCGTGCTAAAAGAGCCGTAGCCGTAATCGTAAGATTTCAACGACGATGGAAGAAATCTCACTTGCGACCCGATGAAGCTCCCATCAGCTCCACAACCGAATATCAAGCATCGAACGTCGAAGAGCTTCTTCAAGCCGAAGTTGCAATCGTGAAGCAAGTACAAGAACAAGCGTTCTCAAAGGGAATCCAAACGTTGCGTTCAATGCAGAAACCCGATTCCGGTCAAGACGACGTGCGAAGACGTAAAGCGGTCATGAAGAAGACCAGTTTGCTTCATCGTTTGGATCCATTTCTCGAAGGTAACGTGCCAAGAAATTGTTGGCGTATGGCCCGCATAGAAGAAGCTTATACCGATGAGGACGGATTTGTGCGAAAGGTGAAGCTGGTTATGAGTGATCCTTCACTGAATCGAAAGGGAGAGCGCATTCGTGCCAAAAGCGTGTTGGAACGACCAATCCAGAAGTTGGTACTACTATTAAAATGCAATGGTGATCAAAATGAAAATGAAGATAAACGATTCCCCGACGGAGAGCCTAACTGAACGATATAATTTAACCTTTAAAAGGACTTTAGCTTTAAGTAATATAGTAAATTGTTTGACTGAACCAATTTAAGGGAGCCATGTAACTGTGGGCTCATTTCATAGTTTAGAACCCAGACTCTCACGGACAGTTTTGGCGCGAAACTAATTCATTATATGCGAACGTTCATAGAGTTTACAGTTAACTTTAGAGACTTGCGATTGTTTTGATATTCTATTTCATACCTGCGTGTATTTATAGTAGACGTAATTCGTTTTATGTCAAGTGATTCAAGTTTAATATAAAAGAAACGAAACGTTGCGTTGAGTTACTTGTCAGTTCAAAATATAAACGAATTAATCCTGACAATTGCGTATAATACACGCAGATTGCGAACGTCAGGAGCTACATGTACTGTATAACGGTTTAAACTTAGCCGGCCGTACAGCTCACTGCCACCGGTCACTGAGCCGAAGGATAAACCGAAAATTCACTTTTCTCATCACAAGATTTAATGTTCAGTCGATCCGCTACATTGAAAGATGAGTATACTTGGCTATTTTCTGGCAGGGGTAACGAAATATATCGGCTGTTCTCTACAGTAAGTGTTTCTTTATGTGTTGCCCATCGGAATATAATATAACTACATTGTCATAAGCTTGATAGATGTAAGATAACGAGTTTCACAATCCCATTTTAAATACTATGGCTTTTGGCAGCCTGGTTTTGCATCATATGTGTTTTTCAGTAAAAGCCCCATTTTCCTACTTCCCCAACGTGTAATACGCGAAAAAAAGTTTGTTAATAATAACAAAAAATTGTAATAGTAAACACATACTAAACAGTGTATTTTATTATAAAGGATTTTCGTTTTTCTACTGCTCCGTACTTCGTGTGCTCCGTGCTCCGTGTGCTCCGTGCTCCGTGCTCCGTGTTTTACTAATAGCCTATTTATGTGTGCATACAATATTTTGTATATATTCTCTTAGACTTTAACTGTGTGATAATTTATATTATATTATATTTTAGATGTAATTTTTATTAAACTTTGTAAATATTAGTTTAAACGGCCTCTTGAAAAACGGATCATAGGTGTTCTGAAGAACTACCGTTTTAAAATATTTGTAAATAATAATAATAAATTGATATTTCCTTTCCTGTTCATTAATACTGAAAAATTTGTATTTTCCGATGTATTTTTGTACTACACGACTTTGTTTATCTGATTGTCTCGCTTTATGAAACATATAAACCTTTACATTTTTCGCTGTGTAATATAAATAAACTCTGTATCGTCTATGAAAAACAAATTTTGCACTCGCTCGTTCGTTTAATTTGCGAAAACAGATTATAACGCGTGCGTAAATACCACACGTAAGTATTTCCCATGAAAAAATCTCTATATACTATTCGGTTATCCGATTATCCGATTATCCGGTTATCCGGTTATCCGATTATTCGGTTATTTGGTTATCCGGTTATCCGATTATCCGGTTATCCGGTTATCCGGTTATCCGCTACCCGGGTTTTCTACCATGCCGAAAATGACACTCACTGGATCTCAGGAAATTCAGCCAATCGTAAAGCTGAAAAACTAACCAATGACAATATTGTAGCTATGTCTTCGCAGAGGTCCGTCCCGAAAAATGACAAAATTTTTCTTTAAAATTTGAATTTTTATCTATACTGCACTTCTCGAAAACCTGACCAATGTAAGTCGAAAATATTGATAAGATTTGCCTCTTTTTGTTTTTTTTCCAAAAATTTAAATTTGGCCTTATTTAGTAGAATTTGGCCTTTTTTAAAGGTCATTTGGCTATGTGCATGCGCGAAAGCCTACCAACCCTACTTGTCTCAGGTATTCTTGCATTAATAATAGGGATGGGCGATACCAGCTTTTTCATTCGATACGATATTTGCCCGGTTTTTTCGATATCGATACCGATATCGATATTTTCCCAACTTGAAATCATTAACAACGGCCACAACGCTAACAATATAAACATTGAATAATATATGTTAGTGATTGCAACCAACATAACCAGAAACTCCCATCCTTCCCGTGGACCATTATAGCACCATAGAAAATGAACTATTTACGCCTATTTAGGCTTTTTTGGTATCATTTTCATGATGATGCCGCTGACCAAAATGAAAAATATCGCGGGCGCAGAAATATCGAAACATCGATATTTCTTGCCAGTATACTCTGTGCCAGCACAGAGGATATATACTGCACAGAGGAACAGGTGGGAAATTTGTCTGAGCATGCGCGAGTAAAATGAGCCACGCAATTGCGTGGAATACACGCAAAGCGTGTTTACAAAAAGGCACAATCGTGTAAATATTGCCAAATGTTTGTACAAAATAAATGACTGTTTTATGTTGAAAGAGTGGACATGATCTAAATTAATCATACAGAATTTTTTAGTGACGTTCTATTTCAGTACCCTGCCATTGTCTCTGGTGGGCTGTCCGTGTGCATTCGATCTGAAACAGTTGCTACTTTGCTGTCGAAGAATTTCGAATGTTTACATGAAAATAGAGGCATTAGTCATGCTTTTTACAACCTCTCAAACTGTATGAGCCCCTATTTTTATGCTTATACCTAAGATATCAAATAAAAGTACATGAAACAGAGAACATTTGTAGAAAGTTTTATCGTGAGGCCACGGCCAGTTTTTAAAATATCTTTATTTCTGTTCCGGTCATCACCAAAATTACACAAAAGCCGGGCTTGAATATACAACAAATTTTGAATCTCATCAAGCACAAAAATACTTAACGTGTAACCAAAATATGCTCATGAAATCGAGTTTAATAGCTAAATTTTCAAACTAGACCCTTCTCGAAGCGGTTTTGATGAAGGAAGTTCACATTTCGGCCTTTGATTCTTGGCAAAAATTTGACCACAACACGTGCGAAGCAACTGGGCCTCAAAGACTGAACTAAAACATTGTGAGCCCCTATTTTCCTGACGATATGTTTGATACCTACAAACGCCGAAAAGTTTTTTCTTTTCATTTAGCTATATTTGAAATTGAGGCCACGGGCTATTTTTGAGAAAATACAGTTCAAAGTCAAGCTATTTTTACATATTTTCAAAATTTGTCAAATTTCGCGAGCTTGTATTTTGAACTTAGACAGCTGAAGTTACATTAAGAAATATAGGATGGAAAATTTGAGGCATATAAAGTTAATTTCAACTTACATTTCATTCTCAAATCACGTCTTTCTTCGTTTATTACGGTTTTAAACAAGCCATAGATCGACGTATACGTATTTACTCCCATGTTCACGTCGCCATATTAACTTCTTCCAATCACGCGATTACAAAACAATCATCCCAAAACAAAGAATTCATGATCGACTTTTAAAAGAATAACCAATAATTTGTATATCGTTGAATGGAAAGCAAAAAACCGTCAGCTAAAACAGCTTCTTGCTAACTTTCTGCTTTGTTTTGAATGTAAATGCAATGAGCTTTGTTTCTGCCCGCAATTTTTTGGTCAGCGACGACAAATTTCCCACCTGTTGCACAGAGGTGGAACCACTGAGCTATACTATATTACTGGAGGACCTGCTCGGGATAAAAAAGTGTCCGCAAAAACATGGCGGATCTTACGCCATTTCCATGACAACCACTGAGCTATAATATAACTGGAGGAAGTGCTCGGCATCAAAAGTGAAGCCAAAAACATGGCGGATTTTCACGTCTGCTGACGCCAGAATGACGCCACTGGTCCCAAATCCTCGTGGTAATTACCACTGACCAACCGCGATCCTCGGTTTCAGACGACAATTTCACCCCCCTGGTTTTTGCACAAAAAAGCTGAAACTCTGCTGAAAATTTATATAAAAAACATCAAGAAAAAATGCCAAGTTTTTGCATGGCTTCATGATGCCACAATTCTTTAATATCAAGAAGAAACACTTCTTTTTACCGGTAAGATGTATATTAAACTCTTTCTCTGTGCTTCATTTGTACTAAATTCTGTTTTTTAAAAGAAAAAATTGGATACGAAATTTACAAATATAACGACGCTGTACAGCAGCTGGTGTTATTCTGCCTTTATCACTTTTCGTTGTGTTTTATTTTGCCATTTGGGTAGGTTATAGTTTTTGTTTTCCTCTGGAGTCCTTACCCAAAGATCCAACAGTCCCAACATCAATTTTCACATACAGTATTGTAATAGAAATGCCTTTATAAGGCTTAAAACTAGGTTACCCACAGGGCAGTAATGCTGTCTTTGACAGCAAAAGACAAACTACAGGGTGTTGAACGAGTCCTTCAGAAACATCCTATTATTGTTATCCTTGTTAACCCATTTATTGACAGTACCCTACCACTGACTGAGTATTAAAAATCGTCTGGCGTTGGACAGGGTAAATACTAAAGTAGGGAGCATTACTGTGTTGATGATCATGAATTAACAAGAGCCACTTGGCAGATAGGTTTGTTAACCCATTTACTGGCAGTACCCTATACCACTGACGAGTAAAATCTTCTGGCGCTCGACAAGGGAAGGGCGCATTGCCAGCTAATGGGTTAAACCACCGTGGTTAAACATAAGATTTCATGACGCTCCAGGAAATGTAAACAAGCTATCAGTGTGACATCCCAGTTTATATATTTATATACTCGGAATATTGATTTCTCGGTATATACAAAATTATTTTAAAGTATAACAACCAGCGAAGACGTAAGCCACTAACTACCCTGCGCGGCTGCGCGCAGACTGTATAATGACATATATATGTCATCCGTCCGGTCCGTCCGTCGCCATCCGTCCGTCCGTCATTCATCCGTCCGTCCGTGTTTTATCCTAACCCGTTTTTAAAACACAAAGTTTGCATAATTAAAGGCAGTGCGGTTCGTCATGATCAACATTTTCAAAAGCGGCCAATTAGACCAGGGGTTAAAGGGCAATGACAATGACATGCAGGTGACATTTAACATTGCGTCTCACTAATTAAAATTTGCGTGTTTAAACTAATAATGTTTATCAAAGAAAGCAAA